GCATTCTGAAAGTGAGGTTCTGCCTTTGCATTAATGACTTAATGAGTTCATCCGGCGTTAATTTTGAGGCAAAAGATGGCCAGAATTCCCGCCCTCATTATCCTTCGCTATCATTACTGGTGCGCAAGGTTTAACAGACAATACAATCAAGAACTTCGTCATCTGGAAGTAGATCTACAAGCAATCTTCCAAGAGGATGCGATAAAAATTATGGATCTTTTAATAAGTTTGGTTGAAGTTTAAAGTTATTCAAAAAGGTGCTTTTTCACTGCTGTTATCAAATAGGTTTTGTGTTAATTGTCTTTAAGTTGGTTCTTTTTGTTTCTTTCTGGTAATTAGTCTACTTATAGGACACAAATCCATGGACGAAATTGACTATTTGATTTTGTTCTTGGGCAAATATGTCCCGACATGTTTAGGCGAATGCAATATCTGCTGTGTGTTGTGTGTTGTGGGTGTGGGGTGGTGGTGGTGGTGTGTGAAATGGTTCATATATCCATAATTATATAATATATATATATATATATATTATATATATATATATATATATAGTATATAATATATATATTTATCTGGAAGAAAAAACCCAACAATGTACAAACTAGTTTTGTACATTGTGGTTTTTCTTCCATATCATCAACACGGTATTGTGTTTTTCGTTGCATATATTTATCTATTTATAAATGTACGTTATTGAATTCCTTACCAGACGAACATAACCGATGAGAAACCATCTTAAAGCAATTCGAAGATTTATTTCATTCTTATCAACATAGTTAATTTCCTTTCACAACACAAACACAAAAACACGCACAAAATCTCCTATATATATAAATCTATCACACAACACACACACACACACACACACACACACACACACAGCACACACACACACACAACACACAGCACACACACACCATATATATATATATATATAAATTTATATATATATATAATATATATAATATATATATATATATATATATAATATATATAACAATATAAAGAAATACTTACGCGACTGATTTCTCAAGGCCTGGTAAACTGAGATATATATAACTGTACGTAAATGCGTGTTATGTTTTTAAATTGAGTGTTGGAGGGGGTTAAATTGGCCATATTTTCACCAAAATATGCATAAATGGGTGTGGTTTTGTTATTTTCGTACCTTTTGTTGAATGAAAAAGGCCAAATTAGGATATTATAGGACATAAGAATATTGTATATGACATGCATGTATATATATATATATATATATATATATATATATATGATATATATATATATATATATATATATATATATATAATACATATAATATATATATATATATTATATATATATATATATTTATTATATATAATATAATTATATATATATATTATATATTAAGATACATTTATATATATATATATAATATATATAATATATATATATATATATATATATATATATATATATTTATATATGTGCATGTGTGTGTGGTGGTGTGTTGGTGTGTGTGTGTGTGTGTGTATGTATAATGTATTTAATATAATATATTATATATGTATATAATATAAAATAAATAAATAATAAGTTATTATGATATAATATATATATATATATTATATAAGTATATATAAATATATATATATATATAATTATTATATATTATATATATTATATACATATATTACACCCACATACATGCATACATATAATCAACACAGAACAGCGGGAAACACGGTACGACAACATTTGATTACATGCAAATACACATACACACATACATACATAATAACCCACACATACAACACCACAGACACACACGACACACACAACACCACAGTGCAATTTTACATTATACCTGTAGCAGAGACCTGGGCCATCACAGACACATGAATTTTCATCCGTCTGCCAAATATTTACACAAGAAATATGCAATAGCTTATATTGACTCTTATGATACTTTTTGCAGAGAGAGAGAGTAAGTTGTTATCTATGCCTATTGTCAGGGCATATATGGTTATTTTTCACATAAACCTGTAATTAAACATGGTTTTTTATCGTGTAATTTGAGTTGACCTAATACTGACGTTATATTCTTTTAAGAATTATAAGAATTTTTGATATTAAATCATATGTAGCCATTATCAAATGTCGTACTGTAATTTCTCCTTCCAATTCCTTTGCCACATAATTATTGTACTTATATCTTTTTACAAATATCATTTATCTTATACTTTAATGTTATTGTCAAAATCGTACGTTTTTTATCTTCCTTCCCCTTTAATGTATGAGCGTCTGCTGCGTATCCATATAAGTCCCGGTGATTGGGTCGCTATTACTCTCTTTTATGTTCGCCGCTCTCTCTCATATATATAAATCTTTCAGTCATTCAATTCTGTCTTGTTTTTAAATCTTGTAAAATTCCTCTCTTCTCTCTTCTCTCTTCTAATCTATCTAACTCTCTGTTAATCATCTATCCAATCTGAACTATCCTACATCTGATACGGTTGCATTCACGTTAGAAAGGCCGGAAACTAATTTTTAATCCGAAAATCACGAACTCAGTCTTAGCTTTCTGTAAAAAAAAAAAAAAAAAATAAAAAAAAAAAAAAAAAAAAAATCCTGAATTCACAGGAACGCCAATCTTACTCATACAAGGGATTGTAACAGAGGAATAAAGCAGCATAAATTATTTGTGCTAAAAAAAGTGACGATTGC